AGCTTCCATGGCTTTCATATTGGAAGCAGTAATGACCTTCAACCTTTTTATCTAAACAGAAAGAAATTATTTTCATTACAAGATACTTCCTTTGTTACAACGGCTCCTTCTGCACCCTGGGCACTGACCTGCTGCACTTGTAAGTCATGGAACAGAAACCAGCATCACGCAAATGCGCACCCAGGACTTAATGGCATTCACAGACGACGTCACTGCTCAGTCAGTCAGGGAGAACAAAAAGCTCTCCCTTTATACTGCAGTAAGGGAGTGGGTTGTAAAGCCACCCGTATTGTATTGTAAGACTTTTAACTAGCTGGATACCATCTTATGTTATTGATTTAGTTAAGTGAATAACTAAAAATAAATCCTATTTTACTGTATTTTACTATTTATAAGTATTTATCTAGTATTTCTTTCACTGTTAATGAGCTGCTCTCACTTTTCTGTGGCAACTTCAGAGATGCACATTGTCACAATTTCATTGCACTCACGAACTGAGTGGATTTCTCTCTGATACTAATCCCGGTCTTACTGGGAAGAATACATGTTTCGGGGGGGGGGGGGGGGTGTTTTATTTTGTCATTACAGCGCCAATATCCTTCCCAGGGCCTGAGCAACAGAAGTAAAAAGCACAAAGTTTTTAGAAAGCCTTTCCAGCGACTGCAGTTAGCCCTCCTGTTCTTCCACATTCTTGCAGAATACATTATGCTGTAAATTTTCAAAGAGAATTACACTCAAAAAGGTGAGCAAGGCACTGCTTGCAATTTCTTAAATTCTCCTTTGCCAGAACTGTTAGCGCAACATACAGGGAAGCTGAGCATTTTTCTTTGTGCAAATTTTTAGTTGAACAGATTTCCTAATGCAGAACATTACCTTTGAGAGGAGGCAGGGATCACGGTCTCCCTTTATTACTGTTAGAAATATATCCTTCTTCCATCACTCCACACAGAAAGCAGGAAAAAGCATTTTTAAAGAAGTGGTATACAGTTAAGAAGAAAAAGGAAATTATACACACAAAGGTTTAGGAAATAATGAATTGTTTGCATTACAAAGCCAGGGCCAGTAACTGAGCTCACTGCTGAAGTTAATTTTGCTTATAGGGAAGGAAAAAAAGAATATTCTTCCCTATTCGAGTCATCCCCTTCCTTGTTTTGATTATTGCTTGTCACTTGCCAAGACATATTCTATTGGGGGTATTTTTATCGTTACACTCCATCATACTGGCCTTGCCTGCTCTGATTGCTGCCAGAATCTTCAACCAGCACACTTCAAAGCATGCAGCAGGCTGACAGAAAGGACTTCAGGTATTATCTGGCTCTCTACAGTGTCCTTGGTGCCCTTTCATCCCTTCTCTTATCTGGCTGTGACTGCTCATCTAGGGCTATGGCTCCTTTAGTTCTGTCTGGGATGTCTCTCCCTCACACTGTTCTGGGTCTGGCTGCTCCCTTTGAGATGCAGCTGTCTTCTTTCTCCATTTTATTACAGCCGGTTGTTCCTTGCTGATTGTTGCTCCTCACGTTATTCTTGCTGCACTCTCTCCTCCTCTGTTGATGCAGCTCTCCAGGGCTATGATTCCTGCTGTCAGTTATTTCTGGTGTGGAAAGGCTGTCACGCTTTTTGCTTTGATTTAACAATTCTCAGATCCACTCTTGTGTTCAACAGGCTATATTTCCTACTGCACTTGGGATATAACCACTTTTCCCGTCATCGTGGGAGGACACTATCTCACTTCCAGCTGCACTAGGAAGACATATCCACTCTCTGATGTAACTTGAGAGCCTTGAATCATCTACCAGTACTGTTTATTAATGAACTATCATGACTTCTCATTTTTCTCTACATATTTGTGGCCCTAGTGGAGGATGACATGCTCCTATCTGAAGAATGACTAGTATGATGCTTTTGAAAGAGGCAAACATTACCCTCAACAGCTTAAGTGGAAAAACATTGTCTGCTGCTGGGCTGTAGTTTCTGTTTCACTCTGCTTGTGGGATTACCTGAATATCATTCTTCAGGGGCTTATGTCATGAGATTTCTTAACATGTGCAATCACCGAGGACAAGAAAGTGGAAATGAAAAATATATTCAGTTCCGAGGCGTTTAAATAGCACCGTTTCAATGGTCATCTCTGAAGTGTGTAAGAAGAGGCATGTCTTTAAAATGACAGCTGAGTGTCTAGCTGAGATGGGCACTATAACGGTGCCTGATTGATTTATGCCATATTGATGACAGTAAAGACAATGAAATGACAATCACATTCTACGACTCTCATTTCACTGAAAAAAAATTAGATGGGAGAAAGTTTCATCATTTCAATATCATGTAGAAAATTGTGAAGAGAGAAAAGAGATCACATAGACAATCCAAGGTCCCAGGGAATACAAGGTGGACATTTAAAAAAAAAAATTAAAAGAGAATGGAAAAAAAAAAATTCCAAAATGTAGGAAGAAGATACTGCACATAATGCTAGACTGTTTAAAAATGAGCATTATATTTAAGACAGTAGAAAAGTCCTCACTGACAGTTCTGATCCAAAGTTTACTAGAGTCAACAGAAAAAATTCCTGAGAACTTAACATCAATTTAAAAAATCAGTCAGCAAACAACCAAAAAGCCATCCCAGAAACACCAACAACAATATCCCTCCAGCAGGGCTCATTGTGTAAGGAGGGCTTTGAGGCACCTGAAAATATTTGGGCACATGTCTGATCAAGTAAAGCCTTCAGTATAACTTTACAGTTTGGATTTTACTGACGTACCATTCATCACAGTATTTATATTGGCAGACACTAGAGAGCTAGAAGGATATGCAAATGTTCTAGCTATGTAATAAATGAGCCTGATTCCCTGGTTGTTTTAAAGTCCAAGCTATGCATGCATGCATACAAGGTTACATAGGAATGAAACAATGTAAAATCTACAAAATGTTAAATTTGTTCTAATTTATCCTCAGAAGGAAACAGTGTCAGGTGGTTGGAGGAAGATACAGAAACAGTGAAAAGAGCAGCCTATGAATTCAGTCGAGAAAGTTTCTTCCTGTTAGATATTGCTTGTATCTAAAACAAAAGGATGAACGGTTACAGAGAGCAGCAGACAGTCACACTGATTATCAGACAGGAAAACAAAGACTTCATGGGCGAACGAGTGGGTCTTTCAGTCTCCTCACCTATGAAAGTGTGTAAGTAAATTCTTCCATTGCCGTTCCTCAAGGTGGTTTGCTAGATCTGGTAACTGGGTTCAAAACTTACAGGATCAGGCCCTGCTATGAACACACTCAGTGTCACCGAGGGTTCAGGAGAGTTGGCCATCAGAGAAGCTGAGTGGAGACGCTGCCGTATCCACTGGGCATGGCCACTCTTACACTGAAAAAGGAACCTTTAAATGGACAGATACAAGATAGAGATCGTACTCTGCACAGAAAACAGAGTGATCCTATTAGCCTGCATAAAATAGCTAAAGTATACAGATGTGTCCTACTGTCCTATTTGTCACATCAATGTAAATGAAAATTCCTTAATGTTTGCAAAGTGTTCATAAGATGAAAAGATAAGTGTCAAGTATTACAGTTTACTGGGTGATATTACTATTATCATATTAATTAGAAAAAATAATTAGCTTGAAACGTTAAGATACTGATATGAGATAAGCCTCTGAACCCACCGAGGTTCAGCTATCGCCAGCAAACATATGATTGAAACATTTAAACAATGAGAAGACTTCAGTATACTAAAAGCTGCTGGCTATTATAGCTTAATTGGCCAACAGTAATGTTTTCAAAGCCAGCTAAGGGATTTTTGAAAATGTTACTTGGGCTCTTGAGCAACCCTAGCATTTTAAAATATTTTCCTAAGTATTTTGTGTTTGCATAATACATTCTATACTTATTACATGGACATACACACACACACACACTCATTTGCCCATCCTTAAAGGCATAAGATCCTTTAATGGAAGAGGATCAAGTTGAATTTATTGCTGACTGGGAATAACTGATGACTGCAAGAGAGGGTACACCCCTTTTTTTAGCCCAGAATGAGCACTGGATAAACTGGAGGCTCAGTAGACAAGTCAGTGCTATGCTGCTGCTGTCTTGTTACAGTCTGATGTTAGGCAGCTAATGATGCAACAAAAAGTTATTATCAACTACAAGGATGATAGTCAAAAGACCAAATCGCCAGCAGAGAGCTCCCGTACAGCCTTCACAGCGGAAGGCTGCAGGCAGCAGCCTCTGCACCACACATCAAGCAGGTTTGGTCATGAAATTAAGGCAGAGCATTACACACGATACCATGTAGCAGAGAATCATCATGTGGTATGATGGAAAGCACCAGCTTTTGGGCCATACGCTAACAGCAAGCTTAGTCGTATGATGGAGAAGGTGGAAGCATGCAGCCCTTTCACTCCTGCACAGAAGCTGTTCGGTCAGTCCCAAAGCTGGCCAAAAGGCTTCCTATTCATTAAAATACAATTTCAAATTGCCCGATTTTAATACACATCCTTTCATCACCCCACAAGGCAGTTCCTCCATTCTCACTGTTCAGCAATGACTTCAGAGTTTTCACTAGCTGACGGAAAAATTCTCACACATAGAAAAAGAACAGAAAAAACAGTACTTAACTTTAACTTTAGTACTTGACAAGTTTTCTAGAGAGTTTCAATAGGACAAAGACTACATATCCTTCTGCTTTTTAAAGCATTGAATATAATTCAGACACTGCCACAAAATAAATAGTAATAAAAAACTCAAATCTTCCTGTTGAATTCTGACAGCCTCCCAAGTTCACGTATAACATTTAATAACAACTCCATGTGTTGAATGTATTTGGCTACAATCACTGCAGTATATTCCAAATATATTCAACACAAATTAAAGTTTCCCAGCTAATAAGCACTGTGGTGTATGTATTTTTACAATGGTATTTGTTTTACAGATGCAAGGTGATCTTCTAATAGCTACTGACATATCTAGATATAGAGACAGATATGTTTAATTAGTCTCACCTTTTTATAGGCGATCCAGTCAAACACCCTGTCAATGTCAGTGGCTTGCTGCACCTCCTGGGATACTGGATGTGAACTGGCTAAACCATCCAGCAACATCACTTCATGTAGGACATCTGTCAGAAATCTCTGCTTTTCCTGAAATACAGCATATGCAGTAATATCGCAGACAAATATACATTTACAACAATACAGAAATGATGCACAGTTATCAGAGGCAGCCTCTATATGACAGCTAACTAAAATCAGACCTTCTGGTTTGAATGTAAGCCACTATGACCTCCTACAGTCTTGAACAGGTTTATAGAATAGACAGGAACTAATTCGAGCACCAGGGATCCCTCTGACTTCAGACCTTTTGCTGCAATGAAAGCTGACTGAAATTACATTAAAGACTATTAAGTGAATCAAAATACATGTCGGTGCACACCACAATTCTGATAACAACCATTTACTCACGGTTACAAGGAGTGGGAAGAGAGGAAAAATGGCAGTCTTCAATCACAAAAATACACAGATGCTACAAATAGTAGAGCTCATTGTATACACAGGTACGAAAACTTTTGACAGAGATGGGTAAATACAATTATTACTGCTTTATTTAATGAGGTTTAAGTCACTTGGCTCTTAGTGCCAAGTTCACACGGCAGGTCGACGTGGGACAGGACAAAAAACAGAGCCCACGGCCGTGTCACAGCAGATGTCTGCATTGTCTTTCATAATTCTGGTATAGAAATCCTTTCTCCTCAAGAGCTTGCGTGTTCTGCAAACTTTGTAACTTCCACCTGAAGGAAATCATTATTATGTCTCTTTACAAGTGGGACAATAGCGGCACGTATAAGTTAAATGACAAAGTCAAAGTCACAGCTACATCACAGGCAGGTGCAAACCCAAACGTCCAACATACTAATTTGCTTCTATACCTTCTATAAATATGGATTGCAGACATATGTCAAAATTGCTGCTTATTTACTCTGGCAGCAACATTAATTAAATGATCATGTATACTCTATGAACTGTGCTGCACTCACTTTTACAGCGCAGCTAGATGGGACTTTTTCAGCTGAGAAAGGACATGCCTTAAAAGCTCCTCATATTGCATTCATATAGATGTCTCTAATCCAAAAGACTGTCAGGAAAGAAGAGCTTAATTTACTTGTTTTTTTCAAGTCACAAATAACTGCAAAGAGTGAATTAAAAATTATGGAAGGTTTAAATAAGCTTTTTTTCACCCCAAAATGACATATCTTCAATTTTATCTAAATTACAACAGTTCCTGAATTAATGTCAACCTAGTGTGATAATATAAAGAAACTCTAGGGAATGCTGCATTTTTTTCAAAAGCCACCTTGATCCCCACAGATAAAATAACCACACAATTACATAATAAATTCTATGTTTAATTTCTTGGGTGGCAAGGTTTTGGTATCAATGTGTTAATTTAAATTATAAGACAGCCAAAAAGCTCTTCCAGTGCTGATCCATCTGGAAATAAACCTTTATGTTAAAATTCATTAGAGCACAAGAAATGTACCTTGAGCTGATTGTATATTCAGGCAATTAAAAACACAGGATGCAGGAAAGCCAATTACCCAACACACTCTTAGTATTCTCAGCTGGCTGCATGAGGTAAAGTTTGTGAAGGAAAAAGTACCGTCTTCTTCGTATTACTGTTCATTTCCAAATTTTCTCAGGCATACACAGTTAGTAACTGCCCTATTTTTATAGGAAAAAAAAAGGTGTGGGGAAACAATTATTATGACAGTCCTACTCAGGGGAAAACTGCTGATGTGTAAAGGATTGTACATGCTTCGATTACACCTCTGCCATATTCTCTATTACGCAATAACGAAGCCCCAGTTTCATCAGATGTATGATGTGTAATACATACAGATATCGTATTGGGTTTTCATGGTGGGGGGGCTACAGGGGTGGCTGCTGTGAGAAGCTGCTGGAAGCTTTCCCCATGTCCGACAAGAGCCCATGCCAGCCGGCTCCAAGACGGACCCGTTGCTGGCCAAGGCCGAGCCCATCAGTGATGGTGGTAGTGTCTCTGTGAGAATGGATTTAAGAAGGGAAAAAAGTTGCTGTGCAACAGCAGCTGGAGAAGAGAGAAATGAGAAGATGTGAGAGCCCCAGCCCTGCAGCCCCCAGGTCAGTGGAGAAGGAGGGGGAGGAGATGCTCCAGGCGCCGGAGCAGAGATTCCCCTGCAGCCCATGGTGATGAAGACCACGATGAGGCAGGCTGTCCCCCTGCAGCCCAGGGGGGTCCACAGGGGAGCAGATCTCCACCTGCAGCCCGGGGAGGACCCCACGCCAGAGCACAGGGATGCCCGAAGGAGGCTGGGACCCCAGGGGAAGCCTGTGCTGGAGCAGGCTCCTGGCAGGACCTGCAGATCTGTGGAGAGAGGAGCCCACGCTGGAGCAGGTTTGCTGGCAGCACTTGGGACCCCGCGGGGGACCCACGCTGGAGCAGGCTGTGCCTGAAGGACTGCAGCCCGGGGAAGGGACCCACACTGGAGCAGTTCGTGAAGAACTGCAGCCCACGGAAAGGACCTGCGTTGGAGAAGTTCGTGAAGGACTGTCTCCTGAGGGAGGGACCCCACGCTGGAGCAGGGGACGAGTGAGGAGTCCTCCCCCTGAGGAGGAAGGAGCGGCAGAGACAACGTGCGATGAACCGACCCCAACCCCCATTCCCCATCCCCCTGCGCTGCTGGGGGGGGAGAGGGAGAGAAATCAGGAGTGAAGTTGAGCCCAGGGAGAAGGGTTGGATGGGGGGAAGGTGTTTTAAGATTTAGTTTTCTTTCTTATTATCCTACTCTGATTTGACTGGTAATAAATTAAATTAATTTCCCCAACTCAAGTCTGGTTTGCTCATGACAGTAACTGGTGAGTGATCTCTCCCTGTCCTTATCTCGACCCACAAGCCTTTTGTTCTATTTTCTCTCCCCTGTCCAGCTGAGGAGGGGAGGGATAGAGCGGCTTTGGTGGGCACCTGGGGCATCCAGCCAGGGTCAACCCACCAGAGGTATGAACACACAGAGGTATGGACCCATCTCCAAATTCAAATTTGAATATCACAATTGACAAACAGTTGTGGGAGTGGATTGTTACTGTTTGGAATTAACTCATGAAAAGGACCTCTGTTAATCACAAATGAATATTTTAAATACAGAACCTAGAATTAAGAAAATCAGCATGTAGGAAACAAAGTGAAGCTATAAGAAGAATACAAAAGATATGAAAAGGACAGGCTACGTTTTGGGTTTCTGTTTGTTTCTTTGGTTATGTCCTGAAGGGCTGAAAAAGAGCATTTTAGATTCATGATCACTCATTCAAGTTACCATAGCTGAAAAGTCTTCCTTGAAATTTATGGCAGACTGTCACACTGGGATACAACTGGAATAGCCAGTACATCTCCAAACATGTAAACCTGCATTTCAGTGAGAAATAAGAAGGCTTTTGACCTCTAAAGCTAAATTTATTGAATTAAAAAGATTTCCAAAACGTTCCCACTTTTACCCTTTAGTACAAAGCCTCTGAGAGCAGGTTCCAGAAGGAGACTCAAATAGAACTCCAGGGAGACATAGAGAAAGCAAGAGAGAGGAGTTTGCTGGTTGACAGGGGGCCTGCAGCTTGAAGAGGCAACAGGAACCAGAAATGCAGAAAGAAACTAAAACTGCCTTAATTATGTTGAAGAAACACCACCTCAGCTATTAAAGTCCTATCAGCACATTAAGAGGAAAAGGCCAACATATGTGACCAAACCACTTATACTGATGGAAGAGGGGCTTTCTATTCCCTAGTTATTTTACCCTACAGTGGAATTGATCTGTTTTAACATGATACCTACAGGACTAAAGAAACACCTAGCAGCACAGAAATTGTAAAGAAATTCAACCTTGGAATGCGTTTAATGAGGCCAGTGAGGTGTCAACACTGCAGGTGACAGGTTTGCAGCCAGACATGAAACAATGACAAAATGGTGTTCAAGAGGACCCTCCTCCGAGGGAGTTCAACTGCAAGAGGAAAGCCAAAGGCTGTGATCTGCCTGTAAGGAAAAGAGGGCTTCAGGTGAGTCTTGAGGCTTTGCTTGGAAAGTGTCTGTAGCTGCAGGTAAGCACAATGCTGTGCAGAGCTAACACAGGGCCAGGGCCCTGAGCAGGAGCTGGTATGACAGCGGCAGAAGCCTAGTCTGAAAAGGACAGAGGTGCTTCCACTCAAATTTGTGCCTTTCTTTAAGGGCAAGCAGGAAGCCCCTCTGCTCCTTATCCTCCTACTGCCCACTCGGAGACACGTCTCTTCATCTCCTCTCCTCAGAGCCTTCCTTGGACTGCGGATAGTGAAACTCTGGGAGACCAGACCTGTGCTGAGAAGAAGAGACATGCCAGTTATTTCTGGTTGCCTTCCCTCTCTTACTCTTGAGAATGCTTCCAGGTGCAGGGACTGAAGTGCTGTTACCAAGCAAACATGCCTTTCGAAGATTTACATTTTCAGACTATTTCCCGAACATCTGTGGTCACTAGATTCAACTGTTTGACTCTTCATAGGAATGACTTCTTTTAATCCTCGTCCATAAGACCTTCTCTGTTTGGTACAAGGTTGTCCTGAAAGACTTATCCCTTTCTCTGTGCTCTCCCCTCCTTAGCCACCATTTAATCATTGTGAAAATTCAAATTTCACTGCTTTGGGTAAAAGCAGCACAAATGCAACAGGTAACAGGGTCAGAAACTTTCCACCTGTAGCAATTCTTCCACATTATGGAAATAATCTGGAGATGTTTAAATGTGGATCTGTAGTGTAAATCATTCCACTGCAAAAAGAATCAGGAGTAAGAAACTGGCTAACCACAAGGAAGCTTTCTAGTTCTGGTTTATTTTCACCTTGTTCTAAGGAGGAAGGTTTATGGAAAGGTAGTGGTCACTCTTTATGTATTAATCCCCAACGGGATGCCCACCATTCAACCAGTCTACCTATAACTGGAAAGAAAGCAATTGTGAAATAACGTTTTTTGGCAGAAAAGACTACACCCTCAAGAGCCATTAAAAATTTGTTGTGCATAACAGGATAACAATGATGTAATGGAACGGGGTTGCTGCTGGTGATTTTACAATATCATACAGAGGCATAATGTAAGA